AGAGCAGAAAAGCAGAGAGAGGGTAAAGAGAAACTCACATGGTTCGTAAATCCAAATTGTTTGGACATTATACCTGCCAGCTGGATACTGCTGAGAAGGACTACATGGCCTATTCAACAAGCCAAGGGCCGGAGTAAGGCGTTACAACTTCAGCTTCCAGTGTTGGGAGTAATTTACACAATTCACTGATAGGTGGCAACACTGCCCAGAGCTAGATCCTGTGCGGACAGGAGGTGGAAGGGATCGACAGCCTGGGTTAGCAGAGAGCAGACGCCAAAAGCACCACCGTAAGCTCAAATTTAGCCATATTTCTTCAAAAATTGAACTAGTTCTAAGTCCTCCTTTTTTCGTGTACTGGCCACACTCAAAAATCTGACTAACCTTAAAACAAACACCTCCAGAAGAGCAGGGTATGTTTTTGACTGACGGAAAGGACAGCCAGCCCTTTGGCGATGTGACACGCCGAAAGATTTCCAAGAAGCAAGGGAGTAAGGAAAAACAAAATAAAGGGGGAAAAGCAGACCTTATGCGGAGCAGAAGCAAAGTTTGCTATGCTGAGAAAGACAAGCAGCCGTGGCTGGCTCGGAGCCGCCCCCGGCCCGGCCCGGCCCCGCCCTCCCGCGGGGCCATAAGGGCGGGCGCGGCCGACCCGGCCGGGGATGCCGAGCGCGCTGCTCCCGGTGCCGCGGCACGGCGGGCGCATGGAACGGGGCGGCCGCCGCCGCAGCGAGCCGGAGGAGGCTGACAAGGGCAGGATGAAGAGAACGATGTGAGTCCCCCTCGCCCGCAGGGACGGGGGAAGCGTTTTTCTTGCCTTCAGAGGTTCTGGGTGACTACCGCTGCAGGAGCCGCCTCAGGGAAAGCGCTGCTGTCGAAAGCTCTGCGAGCTGTCATTTTTAACGAGCATCTCCCTCTTCTTTTTTCCAGTATTAAAGATTGGAAAACAAGACTGAGCTACTTTCTGCAGAACTCGTCCCATTCTAACAAAAGGAAATCTAAGAAAGCAGGGAAACACCGCAATTACTTCAGGTAAGTTATGAGAAAGAGACTATGTTTGAATAACTTGAGTGTTTTTCAAAAGCAGTACAGCTTGAGCAGTGTAGTCTGATGTTCTCCCTCTCTTTCTGCAGACCTTCACCTGAAGAAGCCCAGCTGTGGTCAGAAGCCTTTGATGACCTGCTTGCTAACAAGTGTAAGTTCGTCTTGAAGTACCATTTGGGAGCAAAGGGAAGGAGAAGTTTATATGTCTGTAAGAGTTTATTTCCTTCCATGTCAGTATTGTCACGTAAAGAGCTTGGATTCTGATCTTGCAAGTTAAATGGTTATAAAAGTCTAAAACCAAAATACATAGAAGTGGGTTATTTTTTTAATGTAAACTAATAAAACAAAGAATAGCTCAGTAGATTTTGTTTCTTTCTTGAAACCCCCATAGCTAAAATCATACCTGTTAGCTTGGCTTTGCCAAATGGGAGAAGGGCATTTGTTCCCTGAGCTCACTGCATAAGCAAAATAAATGCTTTTCAGTAATGTGGGAAGGATTCTGCAACACAGGTTCAGTGATCTTGGTGTTTTACTGTATCTCTGCAAGAAGTGGCATTCACTAGCAAAGCAAAAAGACTAAGAAATATTACTATTTGCTCTTTGAGCTTGAGTCATTCTTTCCATTGAAGGATTATTCCAGAGTACTGTAGCAGTCATATTTACTGCAGTGTAAAGGTTAACAGAGGAGACCTTATCTAGAGAAAAAAAAAATTTAATGCATTCTCAGGGATCACAGAAGGAAACATAACCGCAGAAATGGTTTGATTTTTTGTGTTTGCCTAAGAAATAGCAAACACAAAGGGAAATCTGCCAAGCTGTTAAAGCATTAACTTGCTTGCAAACATAAATTATGGAACTTCTTTATTGCCATGAAAAAAATAGACTTACAACAAAACATTTGGTAGAAATTGATATGACCAATAGGTAAAATCAAGGTTCCTGAAATAGCTAATTTATGGTAATTTTTTTCTTTCCTTAGATGGTCTTGCTGCTTTCCGAGCTTTTTTAAAGTCTGAGTTTTGTGAAGAGAACATTGAGTTCTGGTTGGCCTGTGAGGACTTCAAGAAAACTAAATCGCCCCAAAAACTGACCTCTAAAGCAAAGAAAATCTACAATGACTTCATTGAAAAGGAGGCTCCCAAAGAGGTAAAGAAAAGCTGCTCTGCTCTATGAGTTCTACAGCCATTATTTCTTTGTATTCAACATACAGATGTCAAACTGCATTGTACATAACCTCACTGTTAATGTCTGGGTCTGAATATAAGTGCCTTTTCACCAAGCTGGAAAATGTCACAAGCAGTGTTGCAGAGAATTTCTATTCTAACTGAGAAAAGACATATCTGAATTAGTTTTTGTTTTGTGCAAATGAAGAATTTTCTTAAAGAAAATTCCCCAGTAATTTGAACCTGCAGTAATGGGGTCTTGCCTTTTTCACCTCTTCAGAAGTTGTACTGTGTATTAACACTTACTCGAATTCTGCTCTAAGGAGTAATGTCCCTTTCTGTATTTCAGATAAACATAGACTTCCAGACCAAAAACATGATTGCACAGAACATCCAGGAAGCCACCCATACCTGCTTCAGTGTGGCACAGAAGAGAGTTTACAGCTTAATGGAGAATAACTCCTACCCGCGGTTTTTGGAATCTGAATTCTACCAGGAACTGTGCAAGAAGATGCCTACCAACAGAGCAGCCCAGGGCACGTGAGTGATGGAGAGGAGGGAGAAGCAACCTCTGGGCTAGCAAGGAAGCCAAGCCACAGCTCCTGAGCAGCATCCTGATGCAAAACATTGGGGCATTGACCACTTAGTCTGTATGCCACGATGCTAGGACAAATACTGACTTCGTTGCAGAGCTGATGGCCCAGAGTGACGCTGTTGGAGGGTGTTCAGGGGAGATGGCAGAAGAGTGCCAGCCAGCTGCCAGCACTGCCCTTCTCTGCCAGTGCTGCAGCCAGAGGTGGCTGTGCAGGAGCCCTTCTGTCACAGCCGAGGAGTGATGTGGCAGATCCAGACAGAGCTTCCTTCTTGTGAACAGAAGCTGCTGTCTGCACTTGGGCACTGCTGGGAACTTGAGTTATTGGTTGCCTATTTATTTTTCCTAAACAACCCCCAGCATTGCTGTTGGTGGTGGCTCCGTGTGCTCACACCGGTTCTATTACTGCCTCGAGCTGCCAAGAGCTGTGCTGGGTTTCTGTGCAACCTCTTCATAGTAACAGCATTGTGAGGGCAGGAAAGGATAGAATAACTCAGTTCCCAGAGGAACAGGTTCTGCAGCTAAAATATGCAGGGCTGGGTTGTGTCAGCAGGGCTGTTGGGCCAGACTGAGTGCAGAACTTGGGCAAGGTGAACAGGAGCTGTATAGTACTATATTTATATGTGGATTATGATTGTGTTGAATACTACAATGTCATAATTCTGTCTTGAAGACAGCAAGCTTCAGTGAAGTTTTACGGTTTTTAATAAACTATTTTGGTACAAAGCTTCTTTTGTTGCCCAGTATGTGTTGCACACACAGATAAACACTGGCACTTGATTCCAGAGTATGGGGACTGTGGGTCCTGAGTGATATCTTAATAGGGCTAATTTTAAAGCAGTTAGTTCATAATCTATGAATTGAGTTTTCTGTTTGGGTTTTATCAACAGAATAAAAACCTTCAGAGCCTGAAAGCTTAACAGGGAGACATGTTCAACCACATCCTCTGTCCCAACATGTCTGTGAAGCCAATCTCTAACATGTGCAAGGCACACATTCAGCTACTCATGATGCCAGATCAAGCAGAGTAGCAGTGCTGCTGTAGCTCACAGGATGCTGTTGGGAACACAGGCACCCAGAGTGTTGCACTTGCACCTGCCCAAGACCTCTGCTTCAGAAAGGGTTTAGGAGGATTTTAGTATCACAAAACCTGTGCAAAGTCAGGAGAGGCAATAGTACGGTAAAGGCATTTGACTCCCATCTAGGTGTCAGTGGCTTGGGGGAAAGTTACTGGTCATTGTTATTCCATGTACTATTTTTCCCAAAACCAGTCTCTAGTTAGCTTTTTGGCATCTGCATTTCAGGTCTGTTTAGGTCCTGGCTGTAGCTATTTTTATTCTAATGCTCAGTTTCTCAGCTTTAATTACTTATTTCATATATATCCACAGCAGTCTCTTCTATAACACTACACTTTTCCAAACATCAAGAAAATTCTAACTATGTTTTTTTCTACTTCAATTGCATGTCCAAAAAGCTATTCAAAAGCAACACCTTAGGAGGAAGTTCTTTGCTGTGAGAGTGGAGAGTCATTGGACCAGGTAGCTCAGAGAAGCTGTGGCTGCCCCATTTCTGGAAGTGTTCAAAGACAGGGCTTTCAGCAGCCTGGTCTGGTGGGAGGTTCCCTGTCCATGGGAGTGGTGCTGTAACTAGATCATCTTTAGGGCTTCTTCCAACCCCAATCAGTCTATGATTACATGAGGATTCTATGTACAGTGAATACATACATACCCACCCACAGATAAACATGTCTATGATACTGGCTCTATGCACAGAAATTTATTTGGTGCAGCCCCTGTTGCAGCCTGAATTGCTGCTAGTAAAGTCCAGGGTAAAGAAGCAAAAAGGGCCTTTGCATGGTATCCACAGTTGTTTTATTCAGCCACACGGTGAGATGTTCAGAGTCAAAAGCACATATATGTGGAGGGTCCAGGTTTCTCTCTCCCAAGAGGCCCCAGGGGTGAACCTGGTCTCAGGGCAGTACAAAGATAAGGGCCAATCAGGGAATAGGGAGAGAGTAGCTCAGGGACATGGGAACAGACATAGGAACAGGGGAAGGAGTCAATGGGATCTTAACAGCTTTTTGAGGGAAGCTTCTTGTGTCTCCCCAACCCAGAGGATGCCCCCCAGGGTCTCCACAACTCCCTGTTTTGATATTATTAAGAAAGTTTCTCTGAAAGATCAACTGAATCAACACAAAATGACAAAAACAATCAAAAAGCACCCATAAGACAATTTTCAAAATGCAAACAATTCTGAGTCCTCGGTGTCCAAATAGATTTTCTTGGAGTTGGCAGGATGGATGCAGGGTTTTCTTAGTATGGTTTATCAGGAAAATGAGTCAGGAGAAGGTTCTTTCAGCAGGGACTGGTTCTCTGGCACCTGTGGCAGTGTTGTTGGCTGTGATTGGCTCTGTATGAGGTAGTGTAGGCAGCGGTGTGCCTGTTGGAAACTGTAAATAGAAATCATTAACTTTTAAGAAAAAGATGGTTACTTTAGGGAAACATTCCTTTCTTTCCCTCCCAATCACACTCCCTCTGGTATTATGAAGGAACTCTGGGGAAAGAGATTAGTGGAGGGAAGCCATGAAAAGGGGGAAAAGGAGCTAGGAATTTGTGGAAACATAAAAAAGGGGTAAAAGGACAATGGAAAGGAAAAGGGGAGAGTGGGAGGGAGGCAGGGAGGCCACAGGTACTGAGGAAGGGTATTAAAAGAAGTGGGACTTATCTGATTGGAAGGTTCAGTCATTATGGAGGTGGACTTTTGGATGCAGGACAGCTCATTGGTGTTCTTGCAATAGGTGGCTGGGGCTGTGAGAGCCGACTCTCATGCAGCTGCATTTGCTGATCAGTTAAATCCACATAAAGAAAACACAAGAAAAAGTAATCCAAATAATTTCCTGCAACAGAGTTTTTTTACTAACAAAGGAAAACAGATTTAGGCTGATAATTGATTTTGTAATATAACAAAATAATAAAAAGAGCCAGAAGTATACCTATTAAAGACTCAGACCTGGGGCAGGAATGATCCTATGAAGATTCAACTGTGCCAGTTTGGGATGTGGCAATTAACCACATTTGCTGGTGTCTTGTTTTAAGGAAAGAAACATTTCTAGTTTCAGCAGGTGTCTGAACAACTTATAGCACAGTATATAGAGGAAATTAAGTAGAACTCTTAGGCCTGGCATCCCTGCCTGAGGCTGCCCTGGGGTATTTTTAAAATCTGACAGATGAGTTTGATCATTAGAAAGGCCATGCAGGCAACTCTGAAGCTACCACAAAGCAAGCCACTGGGCTTGCAAAGCAACCAAGCCATGCCGAGTCCCTTGCACAGTCTGTCTGCAGCACAGAGAGGCCTGGCTCCATGGCCAAACTGTGCAGCAAAACAACCTAGTGTATCAACAGGAAAAAAAATTAAAAACATCTTGTTAGTAAAATCTAACACAAAATATTCCTTCCAATTGCTGCTTTTCCATTTTTAATCTGTTTTCCCAACTCCTAGGAGGAAGCTTCACTAGGAAACCAGGTACTACAGGCACATTGGGAGTGCTGCAACCCGAGATATTGCTATGAACATTTCCTATGGAAATAAAACCCCAGCGACTGCTTAAAGACATGCTGGTTCTGTACTCCAGACAGCCCTACAGCTGCAGTTCAAATTAGTACTCCAGTATCAGTATCCAATGGCAACAAATAATAAACAGCTTCTTCCCACACAGCCCATCCACATGCACACACCTCCAGTTCCACCAGGCTGTCCACAGCCAAACACACTGTGATGCCAGGGACAGGATTGGCAAGGGGGCAGGACTGGCATGGGAACGACAAGGGGAGGGTGACAGAACTGAGGTCCTCTAGGTCAAGGTCTGGGCGCTGCTCAGCAGCTGCCCTGAGCACTGTCAATTTTTTAGCCTCCATCAGGTTATAAAACTGCTCCTGCTCACATGTTCGCTATTTGGGATACAGGCTGGAGCTGCCCAGGCAGAAAAATAAGAAGGATCTCAGTGAATAGCTGCAAAGGAGCACGGAACCTGGACAAATGTGTAAACAAGCCTAGCATTGATAGGGAACAGACAGCTTTCTGCAAAAAGCTGAGGAGTGAGAAGTGGGTATCTGCAGGAGGGCACTCCAGCACCTGGGTACTGCCTCCAGCCACACAGCGAGCCCAGATTGATCCCAAGCAAGTCACTGCCAGCCCATGCCATCCTAACATACCTGATAACTGTGCATAGGTCTGAGGATCTGGAATTGCTGAAATACCCCTGCTGCTGGAGTGCATGAGACAGAAGCCTCTCAGAGTCCTTCAGAGACATAAAGAAATGTAAGGTTTGAATTTAGACCTTTTAAAGAAGCTGAAATATATTAAGCCACATAGATATGAAGTAGAAGTGTAAATTTAAGGAAGTGTAAATGTAAGTTATAGTCTTAAGTAAGTAGAAATATATCTTAAGTGCCTTAAGAGACTGTGTTGGCTAGTAAGGCCCTAAAACTAGTTTAAAGTTCAGTAACTTAGCTCCAGACATAGCAAAAGCATAGCAGAACATTGCTTGTGTTTCTAGATAGAATAGATAGAATTGTTCACATAAACAGATAAAGCTATATGTGTAAATAGATAAAATTATATGCGTAAAAATCTGGATAATAACTGACACTACTTTCATATTACTTTTGTACCACTTTTGTACATTAGAATTATGCTTAGATTGGTTTAGGAGGTATGTTTTGGAATCATGTTTTTAGCTGATTGGATGTTTCATGAATAAAATGCCCCTGTAATGGAGTGCAAGGAGAATAAAGAACAAGAAGAAGAAGAAAGAAGAAAAATGGCTGTTATTCCTGCTGCTGCTACTTATTCTCCTCCATCATCATCATCATCAAGAAGAAAGAAGCCTGCTGCAGCTGCTCCTTCTCAGAATTCCAGACTCTGTGCCAGGGATTCTATGGCAGGTAGCAGCTGCTGCTGCTGCTGCAGCTTTTGCTCAGGACTTTATGCTAGAAAGCTTTTAGCACAGACTTTATTATCTTGAACTCTTTGTCTTTGAGACTCTGCAAATCTGGAATAACAGCAACTTCTAACTATCCACATATCACTGTTTTTAAATCATAATGTCACAATAGTTGTTTTTAAAAAAGCAGTAAATCTAATTTTTTAAGCCAACCACATAATTTTGAGAAACTAGGTCAGGAGTTTCAACTGACCGCATCCAGCAACAATTTGGGTTTTGAAGGGCTTGCCTAGACACCACAGCACAGGGCACGCTGAAGGAGAGTCCTCTGTGCTGCCAAGAAGCAACATGTAAATCAACCTTCTAAAGAAAAACACCAAGGCTGCTGACCCTCATCAAGAGCTCTGTGGTGCAAAGACTGGAGAGGGCCTCTGAGAGCAGGGCAACTTCAGCAGCAAGGATGATTCACCACTCCAGGAGAAGGGGAAAGCAATGCCATGCAGTAAACAAATGATAGTGCAGGGATCTTACTCCATGGATTTGTGTATTGTGGCTGAAAGATAAAACCAGACTATAAATACAATCAATCTGCTTCTCCACTTGAAATTGCATCTCTCCCTTTGGAAAAGGGGACACTAATGATGGCTTAAAGGGCTGCATAGGTACACATGCATGTGTGTGGAAGGGTTTCTGGAATGAGACTTTCTATTTTGGAAACTTGAACAGAGAAGAAACGTGACCTTTAGAAATAGTTTTAGGATCTTCATGGGTTTGGGTTTTTTTGGTCCAAATTTAACTTACTGTGATTCAAGAGGGAAAAACTAGTCAGAAGCTGGGACAGCATTCCAAATTCAACTTCCTTCAGGTGGCACAGCTAACATATGCCAGGGAGCCACAAGGCTTCCACATCAGTGCAAGATGCACCACAGAGACACACCAGAAACACGGCTGGTGACAGACCTATCTGCCTATCTGCAGCTTAGGGTGTTGATCCATCTGGGAGCAAGAGCTGTATGGGAGGCTGTACCTACAGCAACATTCAGGGGGAAACAGGCATCTCAAGGCTGAGCTTAAATGGAGACCCCTCCAATGGGCAGCAGGTGGGGAGTACAGGAGGGACTGGTCAGGGCAGTGCTCTCAGGGTCCTGACACAAATATGGAGATGTCCTTTTCTGAAAGTTCCTGTGCCTTCCATATGAGCCCATCAGCTCAGACTGTTTCTGAGGGGCTCCACATTTGGATTTGTGTTGAACACCCTCAGCAATTTGCAGCTCAGCACTGAGTTCTCTAGCTGTGCTAATTGGCAATTACCCTGAGTGCCCTGACTGGGAAACGAGGGCTGGCCAGCCCAGGGAAAACAGTCCCACTGTTAACCTATGTAGGAGTTTAAAATGTGAGTCCTTTGGCAATCTTTCATTAAAATAATAATTTAGATCAGAGTTTCCAGCAGCTACAGAGTGCCTATGAGCATCATTTAAAAATGTTCCATTAAAAATATTAAATATTCCATTCAAGATAATCTAGTTGACATAAATTAGTACTTATGTTTCCAAGCCAGGTTTCCCACTTGGGATCTCATGGAATAAGTTACGTTTCTGTGTTACAAATTTAATTAGAGAGCAGCTCTCTGGCTTTTTGGATGGGACCCTGCCTTTGGGCTTCAAGGGGCCATGGTACTATTACAATTTTTACAGGGCTCAAATCAAAAAGTCAGCTGTCCAATATGGAAAAGACATTCGGGAGCAGAGTGGACAGTTTAATGAGCTGGACACCCTTTGCCTTTGTGGGTGTCCAAGGGAAATGGAAATACCAGGACCACAGCAGAGGGGCTGTGCTGGTACCCTCTTGATTTGACTATTGTTTTTAAAGGCCCTTGGAATTACTGGGCTCACTGGGACCAGCCGGAGCTGGCGGGGCTGAGCCTGGGAGGCGAAGGGACACTGGGGGAAGAGCTGGACCAGTGTCCCAGGGCCATCACAGTGGTGGCATGTGCACATCTTGGAGGGTTCCCCGCTCTCAGCAGGCTCTGTATTGCTTCAGGAAGATTCTGTGCTGGGTGTGGCTGCCCTGCCTGGCACCTGCCCAGCCCGAGCATGGCTGTTGGCAAAGCTGAGCTGTCTTCTGTGCTTGGTTCCTGCTGTTTGCTGTCCCTGATACCTGCTGTGGGCTGGGTCCAGGAGTCGGCACACAGCAGGGAGTGCCTGCTAGGCAGGACAGCACTCTTTGGCTGCCTTCAGTGCCATCGGCACACGGAAATGTCATTTTGGTCCCTTGTGCCTCCTGCAGGCTGCTGGCTTTCTGAGCCGGGTCCTTCTGCTTTCAAATCGAGAGATTGGATTGCTTGGCAGCCAGCAGCCCTTCGAGATGAAAATGATGATAAATGTGAAGCATGAATGGGTCACAGTTGAGAGCTGAGGGAGAGATCAGCCGTGATTTCAGGAGCAGAGAGTCACAGAGCTCTGTGTAGGTCAGGGTGAAGTGACATAATTACACAGTCCCACCGGCTGCATTTCTGTGATGCTGTGGAGATTACACTTGTTGCAACAGGCTAAGACCTGTGTGAATGCATAGGTCACTACTGAAAATATACAGAATATTCCAAATAAAGACTCCTGGCTTGACTCTTTTTAGAGGGAAACACAAAGTGCTGCACAGAGGTGGCTTGTAAGAAGGGGTTGGGTGGCTGTCTTTGAGGAAATATGAGAGCCCACAATTTTTCTGAACTGTGATGTTCTGAAACACAAACATATTTGTAAACAGTTTTTCCTTTTGTATGTTTCCTTACAAAAACAAAAGCCCCACTGTGGTCTGGAACAAGCAGCCTTTGCACACTGAAAGGTTTCTTGGTACCTACACCTCACATGCAAGAACTTTAGCAAATCTTTCTCTCTTCTTTTTTTTTTTTTTTTGGTCAAGGCTGCTATCTTTGGGAGAACCTCCTGAAAGGGCCTTTCACCTTCCTTTCCTTTCCATGTCTGGAATAGGAAGAAATAAATTTCTTTATCAGCTCTATTGAACACCATGGTTAATCTCTTTCAGTAATTTCATTCCTGTGAGAAAACCAAACATTTATCAGGGCAACAAACTAATGACAATGCCTAGTATCGAAAGGAGCAGCAAGAAGCAGCTACATGATTTGCAGCCCACATCCTGGCTAATGCACCTGTTCTGCAACATGCCTGCTGTATTTAACCCAGACTATTACATAAAGCCTACTTGAGCAAAGTCTATTTTTTATGATGTTCATCAAGGATTTTGAGCACAGTGTTGGATCTGGTGCCAAATAACCCCAGAGCAGCATGGAACTCCTGCTCTATGCAGAGTTAAGAGTCTGCTGAGGGAAAACCAGCTCAGCATTGCCCAGCTGACCACCAGTGGGATATCCCTGTATCCAGGGTTAACCAGAGCCCTTCTCCAGCCTCCTTTGAGCAAGGGCCTGGACATCTCTGGTTCATTCCCATGGCCTCACTCTGTGATAGAGATAGGGAAACCAAATCATTGATTGTTAGTTAAGGGATATATGATATAATTGGAAATATTAAATACAGGTCCTCAGCTTTGTGTGGGGCAATTAGACCAATCTAGAGCATCCAGAAAATCTCAATTAATGCAGTATAACCGAAACAGCAAAGCAGGAATTATACCCATAATCAGATTGTAATAGCCAACTCCTAAAGATAGCACCTAGAAACCCCAGAGGATGGTGAGTCTCTCTGAAACACCCCTGCAGCAATCACTGGTACACTTTTTAGAACAGGAGTATGACTCCACTGCAGCAGCCTAGCCTAATTACAGGAGTACTGGGACTGAAGAGGAGCACCCCTGGCACAGGAAATGGCTTTCCTAGGGAAGACAGAGCATTCCCACCAAGCCAGCACATGGTTGGCATCATGGTCAAAACAGGACATTGCAGAGGATGGCTGGCCACTAGTGAGGGGAACAGCCTGCAAAGTATTTGCTTCAGCCCCATGAATCACCATTGAATGAAGGCTTCAGGGTCAGGCTCAGGATGAGAGTCATCCCTTGTTTCCACATGAACAGGTAGAATTAGCACGGACTTGGAGAGGAGTCCCCAACGAACATGTTTTCTGCTAGGAAATAGTAAGTGACTAATGATGATGGCAGTCAACAAGTTAGGAAATAATGACCAAACACAGCAGTAGCTCTTCTGAATAAGCACAGGATAGTGGAGTATTGCCCTGCAGCTGCCCAGGGGTAGGGCTGGGCTCAGGCAGGTGCTGCTCATGACAACCAGAGGGCCAGGAATCAATGCTACCAGAAACAAGAAAACATGAGGGGAACAAAGTACTATTTACAAGCAAAGAACATATCAGCTGCAGGTTTTTCATGGGGTC